AGAAAGCGTAAAAAAAAAAATCTATAGTGAAAAAAAAAAAAAAAAAAAAAAAAGAAGTTAGAAAGCGTGAAAAAAAAAAAATCCTATACTGAAGTGTGAAAAAAAAAAAAATCTAGCGTGAAAAAAAAAAAGAGAAAGGAAAAAAAAGTCGTAAAAAAAAGAAGAGAAAAAAAAAAGGAAAGAAAAAAAAATATAGCGTGAAAAAAAAAAGGAGGAAAGAAAAAAAAAAAAAAAAAGGAAAGAAAAGAAAAGGAAAATAAAAAAATAAAAAAAAAGGAAAATAAAAAAAAAACAAAAAAAAACAGCGTGAAAAAAAAAAACAAAAAAAAAAGAAGAGAAAAAAAAGGAAAGAAAAAAAAATATAGCGTGAAAAAGAAAAGGAGGAAAGAAAAAAAAAAAAAAAAAAAGGAAAGAAAAGAAAAGGAAAATAAAAAAATAAAAAAAAAAGGAAAAAAAAAAACAAAAAAAAAACGGCGTGAAAAAAAAAACAAAAAAAAAAAGAAGAGAAAAAAAAGGAAAGAAAAAAAAAAAGGAAAGAAAAGAAAAGGAAAATAAAAAAAAAAAAAAGGAAAATAAAAAACAGCGTGAAAAAAAAAAAGGAAGGGAAAAAAAAAAAAAAAAAAAAAAGGGAAAAAATAGTGCGAGGAAAAAAAAAAGTTTTGATTCCTCCAAGGCGTGAAAAAAAAAAAAAAAAAAAAAGAAAGAAAGAAAAAAAATTTGCGTTTCTCCAACAAGTGTGAAAAAAAAATAATAATAAATAAATAAATAAATTTCAAATCTCAATCCTCCAGGAAACGTGGAGGAAAAAAAAAAAAAAAAAAAAAAAAAAAAAAGAGAGAACATTCATACCTATGTGTTCAAGCAAATGCCGCAATCCAACACAATCTTCAGAGGCCGCAATCTTACAAGTTCTTCATAACTGATTGAAATTGATGTCAAACCCTATGACTTGGGTAGTATATATAGGCAAGAGATTTGTATAAATTGGAAAATAAAAATCCAATAAAAAAAAAATAAAAAAAAAAGTTGGATACTTCAAGTCCCACTTGAAAAAGGAGACAAGTCCTGTTAAGCGTAGAACTCGGAGTGGGGGCAATTTGTAGACACTAAAATTTTAGTAGACTTTAATTTGGACAAATGGACCCATTAAATATGGGCCTAATGTTTAATTAAATTATTTAATTGGCCCAAGTATGGTCCACTTAAATTATTTAATTAAGCCCAGTCTAGAGTTTAGATGGTCAAATAAAAAGAATAATTATTCCTAATAAAATATATTTGGAATAATTATTTTTAAGGATAATTATCACAATATAACCGGCCCGGCCCAGTTATAGTTTTATCCTTATCAGGAGATGACACGTGTCATCATCCTATTAATCCAAGAAGCCTATAAATAGAGACTTGGAGGAAGAAAAAAGGGGGAGAGGATTTAGAATTCAGAAGTCTACAAATTCAGATACAAATTCAGAATTGAGAAGTTCAGAGACTCAGAATTCAGACACAAATTCAGAATCAAAACCCAAAAGCGAAGAACATCAAATTCCACAGTGATTCAAGAACAAGTTCGTGCAGTCCTTGGATCCAACCAACCAAAAATAAGGAGATCGAATTAGAAGACCATTCTTTTTTTGTAAAAGATATTACAAAGGACTGTACTCCACATTCATAAATTAATAAAATTCTATTTTGCTCCATATTTTGTTTCTATTGCAGACTTACAAATTTTATGTGTACAGTATGCTTTAGGATCGAATCCTTCGTCGGTCCTTTGTTTTGGAAGTGATAAATGATCAACCATAGATTGAGAAGGCCGCACGAACCCTTTTAACGGAGACTTGAAAGGCGAAGACTTCTGAATCTTAGGGAGAGGAAGAGTTAACTCTCCTTTAAGCTTTTGCATATCTTCTTTTTCCTTGGTTTGTGACATCTTTAATTTAAATTCCTTAGTTTCAATTATCTCGATAACAGGTGCCTGCCCTTCTTGTCGCTGAGATTTTAGAACATACTTTAAAATAGGTTTCATCCGATGTGCTTTTATCGAGACCCCTCGCATTTTAGCTACCTTTACAATGTCTGTCACTGAAACGTCTAGTGGATCACTTAATGCTTCTTTTGCTTTTGTAGATTGAATCTCTTGTGTAGACGGAAGGCTTGAGATGGGCACTTCCGAAGGTATATCATGATCGATATAGAACTTGGCATCGGCAAAATGAGATTCTGCCTCTGTAAATGGCTTATGATCCGCCACAACCGTTTGTACGCCATTTTTGTAGAATTTGAAGCACTGATGAAGAGTTGATGGAATGACGCCATTACTATGTATCCAAGGCCTTCCCAACAACAAATTGTAGGACGTCTTTGCATCAATCACATGGAATAAGGTTTCTGCTTGGAGCTCGCCAATAGTTAGCTTCGCCCGAATCATGCCGATAGCTCTCTGTCCTCCTTGGTTAAAACCTTGAATAATAAGACGGTTACGCGATAACTCGTCAATTGTGATGCCAAGATTTTTCATTGTAAATTTTGGCATTAGATTCACCGCCGAGCCACCATCAACAAGAATACGAGTAACTCTTCGTTCTTTTATGTAACCAGAGACGAAGTGTGAAAAAAAAAAAAAAAAAAAAAAGAAATCTAGCGTGAAAAAAAAAAGGGAAAGGAAAAAAAAGTCGTAAAAAAAAAAAGAAGAGAAAAAAAAAAGGAAAGAAAAAAAAATATAGCGTGAAAAAGAAAAGGAGGAAAAAAAAAAAAAAACCGTGAAAAAAAGAGGAGGAAAGAAAAAAAAAAAAAAAAAAAAGGAAAGAAAAGAAAAGGAAAATAAAAAAATAAAAAAAATAAAAAAAAAAACAGCGTGAAAAAAAAAAAAAAAAAAAAAAACAAAAAAAAAAGAAGAGAAAAAAAAAAAAGGAAAGAAAAAAAATATAGCGTGAAAAAGAAAAGGAGGAAAGAAAAGGAAAATAGAAAAAAAAGGAAAAAAAAAAAACAAAAAAAAACAGCGTGAAAAAAAAAAACAAAAAAAAAAAAAAAAAAAAGGAAAAAATAGTGCGAGAAAAAAAAAAAAGTTTTGATTCCTCAAAGGCGTGAAGAAAAAAAAAAAAAATAAATAAAAATAGAAGAAAGAAAAAAAATTTGTGTTTCTCCTGCAAGTGTGAAAAAATAATAATAATAAATAAATAAATTTCAAATCTCAATCCTCTAGGAAACGTGGAGGAAAAAAAAAAATGTGTTCCCTCCAACAACAACAGGCATGGGAAAAAATAAAAAATAAAAAATAATAAAAAAAAAAAAGAACATTCATACCTATGTGTTCAAGCAGATGCCGCAATCCAACACAATCTTCAGAGGCCGCAATCTTACAAGTTCTTCAGAACTGATTGAAATTGATGTCAAACCCTATGACTTGGGTGGTATATGTAGGTAAGGGATTTGTAGAAATTAGAAAGTAAAAATCCAATAAAAAAAAAAAAAAAAAAAAGTTGGATACTTCAAGTCCCACTTAAAAAAGGAAACAAGTCCTGTTAAGCGTAGAACTCGAAGTGGGGGCAATTTGTAGACACTAAAATTTTAGTGGACTTTAATTTGGACAAATGGACCCATTAAATATGGGCATAATGTTTAATTAAGTTATTTAATTGGCCCAAGTATGGTCCACTTAAATTATTTAATTAAGCCCAGTCTAGAGTCTAGATGGTCAAATAAAAAGAATAATTATTTCTAATAAAATATATTTGGAATAATTATTTTTAAGGATAATTATCACAATATAACCGGCCCGGCCCAGTTATAGTTTTATCCTTATCAGGAGATGACACGTGTCATCATCCTATTAATCCAAGAAACCTATAAATAGAGGCTTGAAGGAAGAAAAAAGGGGGAGATGATTCAGAATTCAGAAGTCTACAAATTCAGAATTCAGAAGTCACAGATTCAGAATCGAAATTCAAAAGCGAAGAACATCAAGCACATCCAACAACGTGCCGTTCTTCATCAAATTCCACAGTGATTCAAGAACAAGCTCGTGCAGCCCTTGGATCCAACCAACCAAAAATAAGGAGATCGAATCAGAGGACCATTCTTTTTTTGTAAAAGATATTACAAAGGACTGTACTCCACATTCATAAATTAATAAAATTCTATTTTGCTCCATATTTTGTTTCTATTGCAGACTTACAAAATTTGTGTGTACAGCTGCTCTTTTCTGCACCTATATTGCCGCACCTGCTCTCGGCTGCGCCTGTTCTTGATTTGTAGCGGTGGAACGTTGGGGGAGCGGAGGAGAGAGAGAGTGTAGTCAGTGATGGAGAGGGGTTGGGTGGGCAGAAGGAGAGGGGCAGGTGGGCGTAAGCTGTGGAATGTCTTGGTCTTTGAGCAAAAACCATGTCTTGAATCCGCTATGAAATATGATGTTGTAGTTATAGAGAGAGAGAGAGAGAGGGGAAAGGGGTGGTAATGTCCCCTTCTTTTCTGCCGCCACCTTTGTCTTCCTCACAAAAAAAAAAATCTCACGTAAATTGGTTATACCCGAAAAATGATGGGCAATGCCTAATTTAATTTAATACTAATTTTTAATACGTGTCACAATTTTATTGGACCATGTAGCCAGATTGGAAGAACCTAGTTGAACCCAAATATTATCTTTATTTTTGTACATTCACTTGTTTCTTTAGGGACTTAAAATTTTCGCCTTCTAATAAAGTACCCTAAAATAGTGATCAAATGTGATTTTAGGCGATTATATAATTGATTTCCATTTCCTAATTAAGTGTTACATCCGCCAAAACATCCCTATTGGATAGATTTGATTTAATATAGAAACGTGGGCGGCTTTAATTAATTTAACAGAGTCGCATTTTTAACGATTAAATATCAATGAGCATGTTTCAAATTTAAACTATAAAAAATGTAATCTCAATTTGATATGGTCTCCTATGTCCACCAAAAATTTTTTTTGTAACGTAAAAGTTAAATTTTATAAATTAAGAGTGCGTACAGAAGGCTTGAGATAGGCAAAGAGTTACAAAAGCCCAGTCCATAAGAAGGCAACCAGATTCAGCCCATACAAAGAGCCCAACATGACTTAAGATAAATCCCAACCCAAACAAACAAACAAACAAACATAACAGTTAGTCACAAATTCTGGTGAAACAGCCATTGGAGCAACTGAGTGAAGCAACCAGCGACGAGATGCTTCACTATTCCATTCCTCGTTCGGCGGTCTTGGAGGAGGACGAAGTATGGACCAATGGATGTCCTATTCAATTACAATACGCCTGTTAATTAGGGAATCAAGAGGAGGATCAGCTATCAGTTTGAATCGAATTGATTCCCGAACTTCGTTCAAAATTGAGTTTGCAGATAGTCTTTTCTTCTTAAAGATTCCGCGGTTACCCTCTGACCAGATATTATAAACCAGAGAAGTAAGTGCCAAACGAGATGTATGTGCTCTGTAGTCTAAAGCCTTACCCTTCCAATGGTGAGCAACCCATGCAACCTGATCATTCCATGAGGAGGGAAGAATGTGAAAGCCACAGGTTTGGCAATAGAAAATTTGTCTTATGGTGATGGAATCCATTGTAGTTTATCTGGGATTAATGGATTGGGTTGAGGTAACAGGTTGTGGAGAGAGAGAGTTGAGGTATGATGTTGGGGATGGTGGTTTAACTTTTGCTCCATGTTTCTTAAGCTCTGGCCCTGTCCATAAGAATGCTCTACAAATGAAATCTTCTATTTATGTCACGATCCCAAAATTTCAATAAAATCTTCTATTTATTTAAATACAAATACATCAAAATACATTCAGATCATAAAAATTACCCTTTTATACAAAGTTAATTTCCTCAAATATATAAAAAAAAAATTCTCCACATAAAAAAAATATAACTCATTTTAGCATCCCGTTTATTTTCGATACTTGAAACTGAAAGGTGGTGATACTGAAAGTCCCAATAATAAAAATCATAACAAAAATTCTACAAAAGTTTAATAATACAGTTTCAAAACGTAAACATATACATTTAATACATATGCATTTAATTAAAAACATTAAAGTAAAACCTTTCAATGCAATTCAAGATATAAAGAACCGTACCCTGAAAAAGAATGTCCCCTCTGGATCATCAATCCTCAAGCTCTTGCCTCCTCTATAGTCTCTCGGCTCCTCTACAACTCTCAGATCTCACTCTCTCAAAACTCTGTGTCTCAGCTCACTCTATTTTTCTCACATTCTTTCTTTGCATAATCATCAAATGCACAAGCCCAATATATCCAATACATCATTACAAATGGACCCACAACTTTATTTTCCTTGTCTTACTTTCCCATCTGATTCAACTAAGGAACAACCCACACCACAAAAATAAAGCCACGTGAAACCAAGTCAAAAGAGTCTCGGCAAGCCGAACAATTTTGGCCAAAAAAATCTTCCATTGAGTCCCACAAGTACTGTAAAACCCTAAAATTTCGCACATTATTTTTTTTATTATTTAGTATTTAGTATTTTAACGTGATAGTAGAGATAATAGAGTTTTTCTTTTAAAATTTAAAACTTTAAATAAGAGTCCTAGGTTATCTCGAATGCAGTTATATTTATCCTTTATATTTTACATCGTATCGGTACGAGGATATTATTTTTGATAAAAAAAAAAAAGAAGAAAGAAATTACCGAGAGAGAAAGAGAGGAAGCGGGTTACTGATTTTTTTGTTGGCAATCTGCAATAGCCGGAAAAAGAGACGGTGACCAAAGGATCGGCTAGAGAGAAAGGTTTAACGATATTTAACAGGCAAGTTAACCTTGCTTAATTTTTACCCATATATTATTTATAACTTGATTTGTTTCATATTCTTAGGATTATTATAATATTATGATCCGTCATTAAGGTGATGAATATAGTAGTATAAGTGTACTTCTGTTATTTTTTTTTTAATCCAGACAATTATCTTGGGAGTTAAATGGTGGATTGTGTTAAGAAAGGGATTAAAAGGAAAAGTCTAGTCAATGTGAATTGATCGTGGATGAGTTCGAATGTATGAAACATATTCTACATGTTATTAGATTACTGGGATTAGTACTTATACTTGCATATATTTTTATATGTGGAGTAATACATATGATTTTATATTAAATAAATAAAGGGATGAGAAATTTTAGTTGTGTTTTTCTTTTATTATCCAGTAAGTTTTAATCACATATGGATGAAGTATTATATATGTGGAGATTTTGACTAGGGAGGATTTAGTTTAATTGATCAACTTAAGTAATATATATGTGGGATAATTAATGATTGTTTAAGCATGTTTTTAGGGGTGAACAATTCTTAGTAGTTATTTTGGGTTTACGTACTTGTCTTACATATGCACTGTTATGATCTAGACATGACAGATTATTATTACCATTATGTACTTATATATAAATAAATTAGTAGGTATTGATCTCAATGATTCGTACTTGAGCGTAATAGATCAAAAGGTGTAGTTGTAGATTAATGAGTAGTCTGGATTATGTGTTGATCTCATAAATGTGATGGGTATGTGTTGGAGCAGTTGGAAGGTGTTCAGTATAATTAAATAAGTCAGTGATGTTTACTTATAGATACATATATGCCATAGTGACCAGTTTTTTTAACTAAGGAATCAAAAGACTCAATTATAGCACTTGAATCATTATTAGTGAATAGAATTAGTAATCATTGGGTTAAATGAATGAGAGTGCTGTTAAATAGCAAATCAATGGGAGGTTATTGTAGTTTTTTTTTAGAGTTGATTGGTAGGATAGGAAACTAAGATTTTAGGTATGTGATGTATACGATAATTATTTATTTATTTATTTATAGTGTTTGTTGAACTCATGAATTTATGAGTTATGATTATTTTAAAGGTGAAAGAGCATTAATTAAATTAAGCAATGCTTTGGTTTTTAATTGGGATAATTGAACTTAACGGAGCTATAGTCAAGGTGTAACCCAATGATGAGTTTGTTGAGCACGGTCAGGGACCGCCTACGAGAGTGAACTACCCTTTTGTTATGGCCATGGGTCTAATGAGCCCTTATTGTGTGGACGTGATCAGGGATCATCTGGGGAGTAGACGTACAATCCAGCCACACGTGTGTTTTTGGTAGTCAGGGACTATACGATTCACACCATTTTATTAGACGGGAGCCCGGGGCTCAGGTGAGATATGCCGATTTATTAAAAAATAAAAGATGGTTATTTATTAATTTTATAACTAACTGGGTTATACACATTTGAATAATGAACTTATTTGAGTTGCTTATATATACAGGAATATAAGGTAAGGTTAATTTGCTGAACGATGATTGTGTTTAGCATTTATTGCTGAGCTTGTGAGCTCACCCCATTATTATATTTCAGGTACACGTTGAGTAAGAACGTGATGGGATTACATGATGGGAACGGATTTTAGCTCGTTGCGCATTGATTTATTTTAGCTCGGTTTTTCCTTTATTCTGAATATTGTAATAAAGTTAATGTTTTATGAAACTTTATTGAGTTGATTCAGTGGTCATAGATGTTTTGTTTTACTAGAGGGAATTGCACCTCTATTTATGGATTTGTATAAAATTTGTCAGACTCTCATGTTTGTTAAGTTGAATGACGGGATTCATTGTAGTTCTATTATGGAGGATGTATGTTGAGAATTGATGGAAGTTATACCTTAGATTTTTTTATGCAGGACAAGTAGTTCTTTTATTAAAATTTGGGGTGTGACAGTTTGGTATCAGAGCCTAGGTTAAGAATTACCTGGCTAAGAGAAGTGATAGTAAGAATAGGAGCATATACTTATACGAATTATTGTTCTCTTACCATGCTCCAGTTTAAGTATAAATTACTTGTGAGACTTATCATTGACATTCTTTACTGGAAATAGGATGTCAGGAGCTGGAAGAGGCAGAGGACGACCTACTAGAGGTAGAGGTCAGGGAGGTGCTGGTCGTGGTGGTGTTGACCATGACAATGTTCAGTTGGAGGATGCACCTCATGTGCCAAATCCTATGATTGGATTTATCAGAGATATCCGCAAATTGGGGGCTGTTGAATTTACTAGAGCTACCGATCCACTTGATGCTGAGAAGTGGATTGAAGATATGGAAAAGTATTTTGAGATGATGGACTGCACTGAGGTGCAGAAAAGGAAGATTGGTGCATTTCTTTTATCTGGTGAGGCGCGCCAGTGGTGGCAGTCAGAGACCAGGATGGTTGTGGACATTACAACTATGACCTGGGATGATTTTAAAACTCGGTTCAATGACAAATACTTTCCACAATCAGTGAAGGAGAAGAAGGCAGCAGAGTTCACGCAGCTGGAACAGAATAATGAGATGTCAGTTAGTGAGTACGAGAGGAAGTTTACAGAGCTATCCCGATTCGCTCCTCACATTGTTGCGAATGAGTTACACAAGGTTAGAAAGTTTGAGCGAGGATTGGTCTCTTATGTGAAGAAGTTTGTGGTGGGTCATCGTTTTGACACTTATGCTAGAGTGGTGGAATGTGCTATGGCAGTAGAGGAGAATAATAACATTGCCTTTCAGAAACAGAAGGAGCGTAGGGCAGAACAGAAAGGTAAGGGGGCTAGCAACACTCAACAGAATCAGAGTAGCTCTCAACAGAATCAGAGGGGTCAGCAGCAGCAGACTCCGAGAAACTGGCAGGGTCAGTCTTGGCAGAGAGGTAGACAAGATTGGCGAGCAGGGAAACGGCAGAGAGTTGGTGAAGGTGAGCAATCCACAGCTTTAGTACCAGCCACACCTCATGATGCACAGCCATATCAGTTCAGCGGGCATTGCTACAATTGTCGTGAGCAAGGACATTTGGCTCGTAATTGTCCCAAGCCTCACAAGAATAACCAGCAGAAAGGTCAGGCACCACAGCAACAAGGAGGTGCAAGGGTTTATGCAGTTGTTCCAGATGGGAGACAGGATCGTGCACCACCAGCAGTGGAAGGTACACTTACTATTTATGGCAGTATAGCTAGAGTACTATTTGATTCAGGTTCTTCATTTTCTTTTATTGCACTATCATTTGTGAATACACTGGGATTAGAACCTGGACATATGAGTAATGCCTTATCTATTACAACTCCACTCGGGAGCGCGACGACACTTGATAGAATATGTCGTGCTTGCCCTGTTACAATTAGGGAGTTGGAGTATCCTATTGATTTAATAGTATTACGTATGAGAGAATTTGATGCTATACTGGGTATGGATTGGTTGGCTAGATATCATGCTCAGTTGGACTGCCATGAGAGGATTATTGTATTCTCAGTTTCGGGACACTTTCCTTCTCGATATAAGTGTGGGGAGTTTGAGGGCACCATGATTATGGGATTTCTGGCCCACATCGAGGTGGTTGAGCAATGCGTGACTATAGAGTAGTTGCCTACAATGTTAGAGTATGCAGATGTGTTTCGGGATATTCCGGGTTTGCCTCCTAGGAGGGCAGTGGATTTCTGCATCGACCTCACTCCTGGTATTTCACCTATCTCTAGGGCACCCTACAGAATAGCGCCAATTGAATTGAGTGAGTTGAAGAAGCAGACTCAAGAGTTGCAAGATCAGGGGTTTATTCGACCTAGCACATCACCGTGGGGAGCACCTGTTCTTTTTGTCAAGAAGAAGGATGGGTCACTCCGCTTATGTGTTGACTACCGTGCGCTGAATAAGGTCACTATTAAGAACAAGTACCTATTGCCACGCATCGATGATTTGTTTGATCAACTCAGAGGGGCGCAGTTGTTCTCTAAGATTGACTTGAGGACTGGGTACCATCAGCTGAGGATTAGGGATGAGGATATTCCTAAGACTGCCTTTAGGACTCGTTATGGCCTCTATGAGTTTTTAGTCATGCCTTTTGGGCTGACTAACGCTCCGGCAGCTTTTATGGATTTGATGAACCGAGTGTTTCGACCTTACTTGGATCAGTTTGTTGTGGTATTTGTTGATGACATTCTGATATATTCCAAGACTAAGGAGGAACATGAGAGACACTTGAGCATTACACTTCAGACTTTGCGTGAGCATCAGCTCTATGCTAAGTTTGAGAAGTGTGACTTTTGGCAAGAGCAGATTCAGTTTTTGGGGCACGTGATCTCTAAGGATGGAGTTTCAGTAGATTCTGCCAAGGTGGAGGCTGTGATGAGTTGGAAACGGCCTACTACTGTCACTGAGATTCGTAGCTTCTTAGGACTGGCAGGATACTACAGGCGTTTCATTGAAGGTTTCTCCAAGATTGCTGCACCATTGACCCG